CCGTGAAGAAATTTTTCCTAATATCCAATCTGAACCTCCCCTGGTACAACTTGAGCCCATTTCCTCTCGTCCTATCACTTGTTACTTGGGAGAAGAGACCAACACCCACCTCACTACAACCTCCTTTCAGGTAGTTGTAGAGAGCGATAAGGTCTCCCCTCAGCCTCCTCTTCTCCAGGCTAAACAACCCCAGTTCCCTCAGCCGCTCCTCATAAGGCCTGTGCTCCAGACCCTTCACCAGCTTCGTTGCCCTTCTCTGAACACGCTCCAGCACCTCAATGTCTTTCTTGTCATGAGGGGCCCAAAACTGGACACAGTGTTCAAGGTGCGGCCTCACCAGTGCTGAGTACAGGGGGACGATCACTTCCCTGTTCAGCCGGCTGTCGACCAATGCCCCCAGGTCCTTTTCGGCCAGGCAGCTTTCCAGCCACCTTTCCCCAAGCCTGTAGCGTTGCATGGGGTTGTTGTGACCCATGTGCAGGACCCGGCACTTGGCCCTATTGAACCTCATACAATTCGCCTTGGCCCATCCATCCAGCCTGTCCAGATCCCTCTGTAGAGCCTTCCTACCCTCAAGCAGATCAACACTGCCGCCCAACTTGGTGTTGCCTGCAAACTTACTGAGGGTGCACTCGATCCCCTTGTCTAGATCGTTGATAAAGATATTAAACAGAACCAGCCCCAACACTGAGGCAGTATAATAAGAAAGGCTCTCTTAACTGTGATGTAGAGAGGCATGCTTCTTTTACCTGTTCATTTCACCTTACGTTGATTGCACATATGCTGACTGTAAATCTCTTCCTCTCTCAGAGCAGATCTTATGCAACTGCACCAGTTTTCCAAGGATGATCTCAGGCTATATCCCTATTCTTCAAATCATTTTCTGTCACAGGAGAAAGTCCTCCTTCTTCGATACTTCTATATACAAAGAGAGACTAGATATTTTCAAATATTGAATTAGCACTTTAGAAAAGTGAATCCATATTAAGTCTTATTCATGCTCGAAGATTTTAAATTAAGGAAAAAAAGTCTATAGAAAAACCATCATTAGCACAATTTTTTAAACACTCTACCTGCCTTTTCGTCATACTGGTAGAATTCAAATCCTAAGTAGTGTAAAACTGTGTGCCATATTCTTAATGAGTTTTATTATGCAAAATATTCCAAGATCACTGTTAAACAGACACCTATATCCTAGTCCATAATGTTTCAGACCCTGCATTAAATGTAGATGAAAGACAACAAGTTACACAAGACTACCTGCTAACACAAGCTGTCTGACTCAAGATACTACCCATGCTATTCATTCACCACAGGAGTCTAAGGTCCAAGAGGAAATTTTCATTGAAATCTACTGCTGCAAATGCAAAGTTGTGACTTCATCAGAAAAATATTAAGAGGCAGAAAAGCTGCTACTGAAAATTATTTTAAAAATTGGCATTTTTCATTTGGGTGATAACACACATGTTTTCTGGCTGAACAGGTAAATATTTCAATTTACTAAGTCTGAAGTACTAGATCTTTTAATTAAGGCGCTGCATTAAATACAAGAGGATGGGATGAAATTCTAATATAATAAAGGACTAAAAAGAGAAACTGATCTGCTTGAACTGAACAGTTGGATTCTGTAGAACGATACTGCATATGGGCTACTGAAACAGAATAGGTAAAATAAGTAGTCAGCATGAACTCACCTTGGTATTTAAATTTTTTTCCTCATTATTCTATCTTCAGCACTTGCACTTCTCCATCCCCTTTCAGGGTATTCTGACTGATGTCCTTCCAATAAACTGCTACAAAGTTTAAGCCTACAAATAAAAAAAAACCCAAAACAACAAAGTGGCTTTATTATGGTAATCTTTTTCTACTAAATGCAGCTACAACCTGCTATTTACTCTAATACAGACTGTAACATGAGAACGTTAAGGACAGAATTTTATCACGCAACATATAAATATTTGCCAACACATCCCTAAGAAGAATGGTAAAAAAATCTCCATGTTTGTAATAAAAGCTTGGATTGAAATACAGCAATAAGGCAACTATGCTTCTAACGTAATACGCAAAAAAAAGTCCCTGACTGTTGAGCTGCATTTTATACCTCTCCAGCCTGCAGTCCGTATCTCTGCAAGTTTTGCTGTCAGGCAGAAAGGAGTTGGTTTTTCTCTGTTTCTGATTGTTCCATCCTGAAGAACAACTGGCTGGAATTGGGTCACTGCATAAAAACAAATAACTATCATTGTTGCCAGCCACAAAATAATCTCTCAGGAGACACAGAAGCAGCTTTCAGCTCCTAGGCTTAGCAAGTGAGAGGCTAGTAACAACCACAGGGAACAATTCTGTAAAATGCCATCACTTTCCATAAGACAAAGAGGGTCAAAGAGGCTCAGCGTCTTCCAGCATTACTTCATGGCAGAAACAGCAGAAAGCAACAGATGGAGAATCAGACTGGGGAAAGCCAAGTTAACTCAAAGAACAAAAAGAACAACCAAACATACCACATGCTGGAGGAAGCATAAGGAGGGAGAAAAAAAATCCATTGTATTCAACAGTGAAGGAAAAGGAAGATTAAAAAGAAACCAAGGACACCTTCACAGCACAAGCAATAAACAGAAAGAACATCATAATCATTATGGTATCTACCTTGTTATTTCTATACCATGTTGTACTGTCATTACTTCGTCATTTTCACCAAAGGCTTCCCACTCTGAGCACTTTGAAAAAGCCTCCTGATGTCCTGATTCAGTAAGACTAGAAAGACAGTGAAAAGGTTTAAAACCATGGATCTTTGTACCACAGTTCCTCTTAATTCTTCTGAAGATAACTGGGCTAAGTAGAGAGAAAAAAAACACACATGAATAAACATTTTTACTAAGGTTATCATGAAAAGTCTACTAAACCCCAAAAAACTTAAATCATTGTTCCAGTTTTCTTGTGGTTCTGACAAAATTTTCTACAGAGTTAAACCATGCTCTCCTCTACATAGTCTATCCTTTCTCATTTATACGAAGACTTCTTATGCAGCAGCTAGAAAGGGGGGGAAAAAAGGTAATATGATTAAGACCAATCGCTAGAAGAGTAGTTTAATTCCTGAACAACTCAGAATAAAGGTGTTCGCCTGAAAAACTCTACCCTTCCATTACCCATTTTTGAACATTAACTTCACTCTGTCCTCCTCCCAGGATGGGTGATCAATTCCTTGCTGTTCCAACAAGCATTTTCTTCCATACCAGCAGGGAAAAGTGTAATCAAAACACACAAAGCTTCTTTCACATCCCTTCAGGAACACATATTCTCTATAATACTTGTAGCAAATGTAACATGGCAATAATTAAACAGGCAGTGAGTTTCAGTACTTGCTGACAGACTTACAACTGTACACTGGGCTCTATTCCTTTACTGTAACATTCACCAACTTGTACACACTCTGTACACCAAAAAACAGAATGCACTGCATGTAAGAGGTATGAGAAATAACTATGACAGACACATAATCATTTCAGAAGTACAACCTCTGAAGCAGAAACCAGGTTCCATGAGAAATGAAGAACACCACATTAGTGTTGCCTAAATCTACACGCAAAAAAACCCCATGTTGTGTCTTCTGACACTGAAATTTCTTCACCATTGCAGTGGACCACTGTGAATATTTGCTATCATGCAACACAATTATTCTGGCATTATTTCCTTTCCTCATTAAATTGCACACCCATTTAGATGAAATTAAAGCTATTAACAAATGGAGGCATAAATACCAGTCATATTCCAAAAGTCGGTTCATAACATCCATGAATCTCCATATGGATAATAATTTCGTACCTTTCCAGTGTGTGGTACATATGCACATAATGGTTTTTGCTCTTTGAAACCACAGAGGAGTCAGAATTGTTTCTTTTTCTGCGTTTCCATACCGGGGAAGAATCGGGAGAACAGGAACTACAAAAATAAGACACAGATTTTACACACGTTAACGTTTTTCATCTCTGTTTAAATGCTTATCAGAGTTCTGTAAAATAATGGCACATGCTACACAGGAAGACTTCTTTTTAAGTATGATTCTTCAGTCACAACAGAGGAACACAGAGATAATGGCTCAAATTTTGGTAATCACTCCGCTGTATTTTTGGACAGTAAACCCAGTCACAATCACACAACAAACTTGGAAGCAGACCCATTTTCAGCTCCACACACATGCCCCCAGATCAAGATGTCTCAGTAAAGAGGGAAGTGCACAAGGTGCTTCGCTGTTAAGTCTCCCTGCTCTTCTGCAGACAGGTGCAACACTGTTAATTAAGGACGGTCACTCTTGCTTCTGAAAAAGGCATCCTGCTTTCAGCACTTGCCAACAGTGGGTAAAGAAACCTCAGTACTCCACTGTATAAACAGAGAAACTGAAAAAACACTGCCTTTTTCTCCTGTTAACCATGCAATTTGGTAATGCTGGTAATTTTTTCACATTCAATACTCTGTACCAGTGACAGATTACATTCAACAGCAAAAGTGCCGAACCCTGAATCTGAGCGTTAACTGTCCTCCCTCATTAAACATTTCCTAAAAAAACTGACAGTACCAACATGTATTGCATTACTTCAATAAGTTAACCATGAAAGTTTTATCTCATACCTCTCTGGTGTGTAGTCAGTCTGTCTGCATTCATCTTCCCATTCATTTCTCTTCTGCTTTTCGTCAAATACAAGGGAGCCAGAAACATCCTGATCTTCACAGAACCATTCTTGGGAACTGCCTGAGGGTTCTGTACTACTAAAAACAGAAAAGGGGGGCGGGGCATGCATTTAAAATACTACCCATGTAGCTTACCACGCCAAGCAGAAGACAGTTAAGCTGCAGTAATAATTAACAGTTCATCTCATATGACATCCAAACGGTGTAAACAACTGCAACTTCCTCTGCACGTCAATTACAACACAGCTAAAACTATTTACGGAGCTAATAGATTTCCACTCTTTTTCTCCCAATTTACTAGTCCCGACCTTGTGGAGTATTAGGTGGTGTTAGTTAGCAGAGCTAGCCTTGTTAGAGAAACTCAAAGTTCTGAAAAGATATAAAAAAAATTCCATCTTGAATACATTTGCCACTCTCCTGCAGAGAGCACAGAAATCTCTCTCTAATCTTACACTTCTCAGATCCTCTAACATTGCTATTGCAGAAAAAGGAAAGACGGCAAGGTTATCAACGTCAAGGAATAGTAGTCACTGAATTTCTCTTATGTCTATCCCTTTCTAGAAAAAGAAATTTTACCTTGTGCTGACCAGTGTAAACACACAGGGGAAGGGAGCGTACTACTATAGACAGACCAAAGCCTTCCTCCCCGAAGTGCCTTACTGGAGATGAATTTAGACTAAATAATGGGAATATCTTGAAGACTAGCAGAATTCAGAAGGAAAACAAGGTGTTCAAGGAGACTCCCATTTCTGAACCTGATCTCTTGCTCCCAGTTAGGAATGCTCTAAAGGAAAGAGAGAGTCCTGTCAAGCAAGAGACAGGTGCTGACTTAATTCACCCATACACACACTGGCTGCAGATCCCAGGTTTCTTCAGTAGGAGGATCCCAGGCATGCAGTGCTATCTTCCACAGCCTGATCTGCTGGTCCCAGGATCTACGGCTGTACTTCTTAAATTTGTTGGGAGTTCTAGGATGAACTCCTGGTATTCGCTGATTCCTGTAAATACACAGTAACATTTATATTTCAGGACATGATTTTCATTCTTAAAAAAAATCCTCAGTCCATCAGATCATGCAAGCATCAGCAGCCTAATAAATAAAATTTTCGTATTTTTAAACACTTAACTGAAATGGGTATATTCTAAAACACTGTCAAAAACAGACCACACAAGCAACAACTAACAGTAAGATGCTCGGTCAGACCAGAGGTTCATCCAGTCCAGCTCTCTGACAGCTGCCAAAAGCAGATCCCTACTGCCCACAGATAAATATGAAACAGAAGAAGCGTAACTCATACCCCTTCAATAATATCCTAGCCTCCAGCTATTTCTATCTCAGTTTTCCCAAGTCAGGTGCAGTTTCTTTGTATTTAGTATTGTACCAAGTCTGGCTGGGATGGAGTTAACTTCCTTCATAGCAGTCCCTGCAGTGCTGTGTTTTGGATTAATGGTTAAAACAGTGCTGATAACACACTAATTTTTGGCTACTGCTGAACAGTGCTTGCACAGCTTCAAGGCCTTCTCTCCTTCCCACTCTGCCCTGTCCCCTCTCACAGCCACTAAGTCGAGGGTGAACAAGAAGTTGAGAGGGAACAGCTGACTCGAATTACTGAAAGAGATATTCAACACCATATAATGCCATGCTCAGAAATAAAAACTGGGGCAAAGGAAGAAGGGGAGGTGTCTTCCAAAGCAGCCACTGCTCAGAAACTGTCAGGGCACCACTCTATTTGTGGGAAGTAGTGAGCGATTGCATTTGCATCACTTGCTTTCCCCACTCCTTTCTTTCCTTCACCTATTAAACTGCCCTTATCTCAATCCATCAGTTTTCCCGCTGTTGCTCTTCCTATTCTTTCCCCATCCCACTGGGGAGAGGGAGGGAGCAAGTAGCTGTGTGGGTACTTGGCTGCTGGTCAACCCACAAGCATCTTCAGTGAACTTTTATTTCACCACCATCCATGCATTATTGTAATGGGGAATGCTATAATTCTAAACAGCATTTGTCTTTTGGGAGTATAAAAAACAAAGCACCCACACTCTCTGGGTAAAATGTAAATTACATATATGCCTTTCCACTGAATCTACACTGGGCAGACACTATAACAATGCTGTCTGGGATCACCCAATGGCTGGAAGTGCTATTTCTCAGATGGTATCCCAAACCCAGATCCTGCCCACCACAAATTACTGGAGAGCTCACTCAAACCGTATCTTCAGTACAAAATAATCTTGTTTATAGCCCTACCATACTGGAGTCAGCTTTAAGCCTGGGGGTGGAAAAATACATATTACAATAGTGTTTTAAATCACACAAAGTACCTTGGTCTCAAGCGGTTCCCCCTACCAGCTTCACAGATCAATGTACTTAGCCATAACACTTTTTGTAAGATAAACAGATCCCTGCTAAGGAACAGTGTTATATGCTATCCTGTTAAAATGCCACCCAGAACATTTTTTCTTTTTTTAAGTTTATCCCATCTTTTTTCTGAACGTTGTTCTCACCCTTTCCTGTTCTCCACCTATGTTTTAACTGATCACAGCACAGCTACGCAAGTGCCAGACATCACCGTAAGACTGGCTACAGTCCTACCACTGATGATGAAGTGACAAAAAAAAAAATTTACAACTCACAAAGCAATCCAAGACTTTGAAGAAAAAAGTGTACTGAAGCTGTGATCATGACACTGTGCGATATCTGCGATCATTTACAATCTGTTGTTGATTTTCAGTCGCCTAGTCTAATCTCTCAAGTTTTGCTCAACAACAAGCTTGCAGTGTCCACTGCACTCGGCTGGCAATTTTCACAACAGACTCTTACAGGTAGAATCCACAGAAAGCTAGCAACTATTAAGTAGCAAGCCACACTGAGAAAAACACCTCTAAAAATAAACCTCAAAACAAAAAAAACAAAAACACAGATGCACATCCACACATTAGTACAGACTAGCTTCTAAATCTCAATAGCTCTGCAGTAAGCAGAGGGGGCTGGCTAAGAAATCTTGATTTAAGTGTCACAATTCACAGGCTCTGAAGCCCAAAGCGGAATGACAGAGAAAGCATGAAATCCAGGTTTTGATTTGGTAGTTACTGATGAATCACTGAAGACTGGTCTCCCTTACCAATACTTAAATGCATGGCTTTATTCAGTCCTCATTCAAAGCTGTCATTTCTTGGTATTAATTAACTTCACACTGGCCTAGCAACAGTCACCAGTAGTGTCACAAGGAGCTGATTAATACAGAATTTATTTGAAGTATGTTTGCTACTAGCAACAGTGATACACAAAGGGAACATTTAGCTTTAAATTTTCCCTAACTAAATTTGCTCATATGCAGAAAATACCTGGTTTCTCTTTAACAAAAATCAATTGATTCAAGTTTTCTTCACTTACTGTTCATACAATTTTAAGAGAACTAAAGCTGTGTGCTGATCTACACACACATCAGGAACAAATAAGAGTTTATTTGGAAATGTACAACATAGTGCAACTTACTTTGGAACTTCCTTAATGTATCTGTCATATGCAAGGGTATTCTTTCCAAAATTGATCTGTTTTTGTCTTCTCCTCAGAACCACTTCATCTGTTTCCCTTTCAGCTGGATTAGCAGAATCACTTGAAACAGAACTTAAAAATAAAAGTTAGAATTAAGTTGAAAAGAACTTTAATAGCTTTACAACAAGTTATATAAACATATACTCTACAACTGCATGTATTCTTACTCTGATAGACAGTAAACACAACTCTTAACTTCACCAGTTTACAGAAATGAAAGTTGTGCTAACCAAATTAATCGTTAGAACAAAAAGAGCAGGTTTCGCAGGTTCATGCAATTGCTCAGTTTTGTAACAAGTAAAGATATACCTGAGGGTACTCGTGCTAAAGCTGTCTTACTAGAAGCTTAGAGCTAGTCCTACAATGAGAAAATCAAATGATACGTGATTATTGCATATGTGTGTAACAACCTCCTAACATAAATGTGAAAAAGCTTAAACTCAATAAAATGAAGATGGATAATATAAAGGAGGCTAGCTTGAATGATCTAATAGCCATTTCTCTCTCCAAGCCTCGATGGCTGGTTTTCATTTTTCCTTTCACTATTCCAGTATTTTCTCATATGGAAAGTTGCAATGAATATGCAATTTAAGCTGAAAAAGAAGAGAATCTGAAATGACCATACAAGTGGCTTTTGAGGTAAGACTTCTCAGTGCTATTCTCTCCTTAAGGCTTCCTTCAGGCTTGATATGAAACAGCCTGGCTGTGTTTCAAATCTTCATTAACGCATGTAAAGTAGCTGGAGATCATCAGATGACTATTGCTAAAATCAACACAATAGTTAGTAATTATTCAATACCTACTTTGCCTTTTTTTTATTTGATGTCCTCATTGTTTTGCCTTCTTCAATTCTACCTTCCCAGTCAGGGCAACTAGAAAGAGGCCTAGAATCTTCTAGTGTTGAAGAGCTGGAAAATAATGAGGAAACGTGAACATTTGTTGCTCATAACCTATTTAATGAACAGAAACTTCAAAAGAGGACAAAAACAGCTCTACAACTGTAGCACCATGGGCATGCCCCTACTCTATTTCAGTTTTAAGTCAAACAAATTGAAACATTTCAGCTCAAGCCACCTTCAGCAGTGATGCAGGATTATCAGTTTTACTTTGCAGGGAAAGAAAATGGTCATGAAGTGAATTTCATGTCAAAACATAGACCTGACCATTTCTTAAAATACTCCCAGCTCAGCCAACGCAAACACTTCTCTCAACTACTTGAGGACCCTGTCAATACTGCCAACTCCATCAAAGAGTGCAATTCATGAAATTACTTGAGGTCAAAATTATCAGTCTAGTCACTGCTCTCTGTCGTCAGCTAAGGACTTTGTAAAGGACAGAGGAGATGCTTAAGAAATAGAAAAATGCCCATCACATCAGCAGAACTAACATTTTGTCAGACAACTTCATATCCCAACATATCATTTCAAGAATGTAAACTCTGCTGAGTAAAGCCAGAAAGGGAGTCAAGAAGCTCTTAAATAATCAGTTGGATCACTGATGTTCTCCGAGTGAAGAAACACTTACCAGGTTCCTCATTAATTTAAAAAATATAATAAATGAAAACTGTATAATGCTGTAATATTCTGAAGTGCTGAAAATTTCTCCTTTCAGTCTTCTTTCAATGTTAATGCCTCAACATTTAACACAAGTAATATAGAAGTAGATTTAGCTTATAGTCTTACTTTCCCTAAACGGTTTCACATCAACAGATGAGATTACCATCCATGCTGCCAGTGACATTTTAACACATGACATAAAAATTCCACACTAAGAAGGAACATATGTACTCAGCAAAAGAGAAACAAAATGCTGCTAGCACATCCAGTTTGACTCACAATCATAACATACTGTTAATATTTTTGATGATAGCATCAAAGACACAGAAAACACTCCTAAATACAAGGTATTTCCTAAGCTCTTCACAAGATTCATTTATTAACTGAAGCAATATTAAACATGCCATCAGAAATGACAATCACCTTCATATAATGTAATAGTCAGAGATGTATGAATTATATACAGAAAGTTTTCATGTGCCCTCAGTAAAATAGTTAAACTCTTCTAACTTATGCTCTACTCAGTTTTCTGCAAATATCCAACCACTCACCACTTTTCATACCTCCTGTCAGACATTAAGATACCAGTCTCAAGCACTTCTTCCACCTGAGGTCTTTGGTCTAGAATATCCAAAAGCAAAGCAAAATACTCCTAGAACTATCTACCTACAAAATTTGATCTCTTCTCAAATTGTCTTTGGTACTGGACTACCAAAAAAAAAACCAACCCAACCCAAAAAAAAGTTATTTATTAAAAACTGTAGTACAGCTGAATATACTGAGTGCACTGTCAAGTGAAGAGACAAACATCACGGTTTGTCCACACTTTACAGATAAAGATGTGTAAGCAAAGCATAAAAAGTAACAGCATATTGCTTCAACGGGAGTTTTCTACTAAAATTGAAGATTTCAGCAATAAAGGGCTTAAACTACTGCCTCAATATATACCATTTCTCTCTTCCATATGAAATACTTGCTAATATTACAGCATGTATTTCAATTAGCCAAACTGAATGGTCTACTCTTGCATAATGCAGAGATCATTTGCTAACTCTGTGCTACTGTATTATTAGAAAACATTTAATTAAATCACGTCGAAGGTTTTGTTGGATTCCTAAAGAAAAGAGTACAGCAAAGTGAAGATTTAAACAAACTTCACATTTATTCCTTACCTCTCCAGCCATTGGTCTAAATGTCTACATTGATATTCATCAAACACAAAAGAATCTGAATCATTCCAGGTTCTACATTCCTGTTCTTGATGCCAGCAGTGTGGATGTTGCACAGAACTAGAAAACAAGAATTTTCATCAGAAATCAAGTCATCAGCAGTCACTGAACATTGCCTATACAAAACAAATATGGACAATCTGAGTATCATCATTAATAGTTACAAAACACTGATTTGGCTAGATATGTGATTTGCGTCAACTTACTCATTCAGGCAACACTAATTTAGCAAAGGTGTTAGACAATGCAATTGCTGAGAAAAGGTCTTTGACAAATGCAACTAAGACATTAGAATTTTAAAATAAAATGTTAATATTTAGATAACCAAATGTATATCCTTTCTCTATTTACAAACAAAAAAGAAAAAAACAAACAACTGAGGACTGTCACCACTGTTTATGGAACTGCAGACATGTGCCAACATTCATAGACTGTCCTCGGTCAGCAATGCATTATTTAACATTTATATACCGTTTTATCCAGCACTAAACTCGTGGAAGAGGCTAATACAGAAACATCACTTAAACACAGGAAAACAGCATGTCTAAGGAGAAGTAGGTCAAACGTTTATGTGGAAACAATTTTACACAGGAAATTCTTTACCAGACACTGCTGCAGCGTCCGCACAAGTAAGCATGGGACAAGGAGCTAGACTGGGGTGCTTGCCACATGCTGGAAGGACAGCCAAAAATTGCTTAAGGACTAAGAGTCATCTACATTTTCCTCCTCAGTTCTGGCAGCCGTAACATCTTAAATGATAGGGTAGTAAACAAAATACCCTCACAGCATCTACTAACATCAGACCTGGCTTCTGGGCTAAGGACCACACCTGCAGATCAGCCACCACCTGCACTGCAGGCTCCAGACAGTAAACATACTGTGTTTCTATATGTGCCAGTAAACGGTAAACATACTGTTCTATATGTGCCATGCTTCTACACTTTTTAAGTCAACAAGTGACAGGGAAGGAAGGGTTTTGTTCTTTTAACCCTGGATTAACAACTTATGTTTTCTTTCCCTTCCTCCTCCACCCTGACTGGCTTTGGGAGTTTCCTGCTCCCAGAGGGCTCAAAGTTACTAACACAACAGCACAAATAGCTTACTCCTAACCATGGATCTAGGCTAAAGGCCGCTTTCAACACATTCGGTTTTTGTAAAGGCAGTGAATGGATAAAATCTTTCTCTAACCAGCCTCAACAACAATTAATTTAAAAGACTTGAGAGAA